TTTACTCAATTAGATATATAATGTGATATTAGTAATTGTTGTGTATCTTTCCTATTTTTATCAAAATATTTCGAAAGATGCGGCGCGTTTGTTAATTTAACCTGCATCATTAAGCAAACTGTGTTTTTTAACAAATGGATCAAAAGTAGCAAAGATACACAAGAATTACTGATATCTCATTATATGTGTAATTGAGTAAATGACGTCACATGGTTACAAACAAAAGAAATATCTCAAGAACTAAGCATGAGAAATAATCTTCAAAACAAGTTATTATACAGTTTTACGAGCATATTCGTATAAGCTTTGGTTTAAGAGAATAAAAATTTTGATCATACTGCTCCTTTAAAGCCCGTCAAAAGACTATAAAATTGGCCCTTGGCATTGCTGAAACCAACGATCATGGTATATGTCAAAGTATAACTGTCTGTTGAAAATCTACGGTATTAAAATCATACACCAAAGATAAGTCAAACGACAAATTATAATTATGTTATTTACCGGCTGCGAGGTCCGGATGAGAAAAACTGTGCCCGAGGTCTTGAAAACGGCCCGAGCCCGAAGGGCGAGGGACGTTTTCAAGACCGAGGGCACAGTTTTTCTCATCCGGACCGACGCTGCCGGTAAATAACGTGTTTATTTTTTATCAGATGTAAAAATTAAATTCATTAAATTTCCAGTGTTGCTTGCGAACTAATTTGAGATCAGTGTAGTTGTGTATTTTCAAAGCGAGGCTGACAAAAATTGAAAAGTTGAAAGATATAAAACACGAATACGAAAGTCGAGAAAATTGGCAAGAAACACACAAAAAGACGTATAGTTTCAGTAAAAATCTACATGCTTTTTTCATAAATATGATAGCAGAGAAGCTCTGGAATAAATCGTTTTATGCCCGGCGTTTTGGCTTTGGCTTTGACAAAATCAGTTGCTCCTGAGTCCTGACAACGACAGGTTCATGTTCAGTACCGATCAAAAACATATAAAAATGAATCTGTTTTGATTTAATCATCGTTTTTCTACTAAAAGGACAATGAAAAAGGTATGTTGTTTTTATATTTTGGTATTTTTTCTTCTTGTCTCAGGAAAATATGCTTGAAAAAAGAGTTTTTTTAACACAAACTTTTACTTTGTTTACAATATTTATATCAGTGAAAAATGCATGACACAAATGGGTAGAGAATATATTCGTGACTTGTTTTTACTGCTGCAGTTAAACCTTCTTTTAAATGGGAAAACATTTATTTTACAATTTCTGTTTAAGCTGTAATTATTTCGGTTTTAAGTGGCCGAATACATGAGCATTTAAAAAAATATGTAGTTTTCTCGACGTAAGTTTTATTCATGTCAAATATAAACTTTCCGACTTTCAGTCACATTTCTATCAAAATATTGACAATTCTGGTGAACATCGTGCTTAGTATGAAGTCTTTAGGGTTTGATGCAATTCATTTTCGTATTCTGACTATCGTTAGGCCAGGTTAGGCTATGTTTTTCAAACGTTTTTGGCTGATTTTTTCGTTTCAAAATTGTTTCACTCCTCGGTTTTTGGCGCGAAATCCAGAGCGGGCAGTTGCATTTCACAGCGGGCAGTTGCGTTTCAGAGCGGGCCGGAGGCAAGAAACCGGCCCGCTCTGAAAGGCTCTCAGCCAATCAGATTGCTTCATTTTCACTGATAAAAAATAAATGTCACTATTTTATACATGTCTTTCAATGAGCACTGTTAATTTAGTAGTGTTCACCACATTTTAAAATTTTGTAAACAGCTTTCGTTTTGACATGAATAAGCTTTAATATTTTTGCTTTATATGCATTCTTAATAATACAAGTGAGATTTAACTTTTTGCTTTGTGAAATAGAATACCGTTATTTTTTAATGGACAGCTTGCATCGTCTATATCATATCCAGGATTGCTTGTCTGTAAACGCATTATCACTATATGACACTATCAAATGCAGTAAATATAAGTAGCAAATGATTAATGAATTAGAGATAAACTGGTGATTCACAATGAAAACTTTAAAAATGTTAATAGAAGTAGAAAACTCGAAAATTTATGTCTATTCGTATGACGCCAATGACGGTCTGTGCAGGGATGCCGGAAGTTGCTGAGGGCAAGGGGTGCAATTGGTTAACAAGAGGGCATATTCCTTAACAAAAGGGCACTAATGAAAATGAAAGGGCATCTAAAAATTATTTTTGGCGACCTCCCCCCCCCACCACCCCCCCCCGTCGCCAAAAATTTTTTGGTCAGTGTACCATTTTAGGGGTAAAATACGTAAAAAATACGTAAAAAATTTTCCGGACATACCGAACATTTTTCCGGAAAATGTGATTTTTTCCGGAAATTAAAACATTTTTCCGGAAATAACATAGATTGAATTTTTCAAAAATGCCCTTTGCGCAAAAAATGCAATTTTTAATGAAAATTTTTCACGTAAAAAGGGCACTTTGTGCACCCGTTGCACCCGTATTCTGCACCCGTATTCTGCACCCGTAGTGCACCCGTAAAGTTGTGAAGACAAAAGGCAACGGGTGCAACTGCACCCGCTGCACCCGTGGTTCCGGCATCCCTGGGTCTGTGCGCATCTGAAACTGTATTTGTGACATAGATTATAGAATATTAACAAAATATTATTATTACAGTAATAGAGACCAAGAAAAAGGCAAAAGTCTTACTATAATTACCAAATACGAATTATGTACTAAATCCAAAATTTGAAAGATAAATCAATGACTGAAATTTCCTCTATGGTTATGGACATGTCTCTGTTCGGCTATTATCAAATGTTTACATTTGCTAATATTAATTGGGCCAGCCCTAGACAGTACTGTTTCTTTTAAAAATCTTATAAACAACACGCGTAGTAACAAGTAAATCGGTGCAAAGGGTATCAACGTTTACAAAAAGAAAATCAAATGTAACGGCGTATTTTAAAAACATTACAATTAACGTTTGTTATAACCGCGCTCGAGTGTGAAGAGAGCATGCATAGAATAACAACACGAGAGACCGCTGCGAGTAACGATTTGCTTGGTTTCTTGACTTGACTGTTAGTAAAAATGTAATAATGTTCTTGTAAATTCAAAGCAAAGAAAATAAACAAAAATTAGCAAGTATTTTGAACGTAATAATTCGCAAAATTTATGTTTTTAACGAATATCCCACTGAAAGCATGTTGTTGATGTAATTTGATACTTTCCCCACACACCCTCGGGCGCTAAATTGTTGACGAGACACGTGACCAGCCGCAGCCAGGGTCTTTCCCAAAGAATGATCCTGTGTACGAGGTTGCACCACTGACAGTTTTATAATTACACAAACAAAAGCGAATTAAGTTAACTAAAATCCATATATAGAAACTATAATCCATCTCCAGAAACCGTGACTTATTTTAATAAAGGGGGCCCCTTATTCAGCAAATTGCGCATGCTGCCTTTCATGCTTGGTGGTGAGGCAGCACTTTCTTTGCGATAGTAACTTCTACTAATTTCCCTATCTACTCATTGAGATCCAATCAGTTATGCAAATTCGTGTTCCTCGTGATACCTTAATCCCTTCACCTTTGTGTTGGGAATATTTACGCGTCGCCAGGGCATTTTTTAAGACATTACAACTACTGGGGCTCAATCTCAATGAGGGCCTTTTACCCACACAGTTACGGTACATAAAAATATCCAGCAGCTGCTAGCGCTATTTGAATGAGTGTAAGTGAAATATTGCCTACAAATTTCAAACGCTAATTAGTGTTTCTTTTCCGAAAATTGTTGGCAAGCGAGCTGGAGGGGGCCTCAGTAGGATTGGCTTCACGGCTCAACACGAGGTGTAAATTACGAAGTTTCTTAGGATTGAAAAATCCCTGCAATTTTTCTTGGGATTCTGGGATTTTTTTGCCAAATTTTCAGGGATTTGTGGATAAATAGAAAAGGTCATAAAGTCTAGATTACTGTCAGATAAAGATTAGATTTGGGTTAGATTAAGATTATGTTAGGGTTAGTGTTAGTGACTCAAGATGTGTCGCGAATTTATTGTATTGATAATTTTGGACGTATTTAGCAATTTACGCATATAGTAAATTCAAAGGTGGAGCTCATGCTGAGATTTTCAGATTAATTTACCCCTCGGCTCAACATCACAAATTTTCCGGACATTATACTTTTCATTTTTATTTGGGTTAACGTAGCATTTTTTGTTTAATTTTCCCGTAATTTTAGCTACAATTATTAGATTTTTATCAGTGTCAATCAAATGTTTTAGTTTCTTTCCTTCCTATCCAACTGGGATTTGATAATTTGCTGACTATACCTGCAGATGATTGTGGGTGTTCCACACCTACACCCCTTTTAGCGCAGCCCCTGCCTGTCTGACGTTTATAAGAGGGAATGTAGAGAATGTGAGAGGATATGAGATTCAAGCAGACAGATGCAGCTTTTTCAACAAGGTTGACGTTTTACTAATGATCAAAAGGGCCCATGAGATCATCTGAATGTCATGCTTCACTACTAGCAAGAAAAAGGCCTACTAGGGAAATTGCCCCAATGCAGATTATATAGTAAAAAATGCCATGCACGTCGCGTCGCTTAAAATTTGCAGTAAAACCATTTAATATATATATATTCCTGTAAGCGACGAGTCTATATTGGTAAAACTTGCATTCGCTTTGCTTATAATTACCTGTCTAGCTGAGTGAAAGACAAACAATACATAATTTTCCTCACCCTCGCCAATATACATTTCTTCTTCAAAGCTGATTTCTAGTGCTGCTGGGTTTTTTTACGTACGTACACTTACGTTTATGTACGGGTGCTACGCACGCGGGAACGAATGAGTTGAACCCGGCTCAACTTTTTACACGCCTTGAAAATTTACCCAATGACTCACCTAATTAGAAAGTTGATTGAGATTACGCGAAAATTGCAAGGACTGGAGACCATTTTGATTTTGTTATTTATATTGCGAACGTAACGCACGCGATTTACGCATTAAAGGCTGATTTTCACTGTTGCGTTTTTCATACGTGCGTATACGCACGTAAAACTTTAAATCCGTTTTAATGTTACTTATGAAATAACCAAATAAATAGAGCAACAGAATTTAGTGTTCCGCAAGTTTTAGTATGCATTTGTTAACTTATTTGTAAAATATTTAAAAAATAGAAGGATTCAAAGTTTTACGTGCGTGTACGTGCGTACGTAAAACGCAACAGTGGAAATCAGCCTTTTGAATCCTTCTATTTTTTAAATATTTTACAAATAAGTTAACAAATGCATACTAAAACTTGCGGAATACTAAATTCTGTTGCTCAATTTATTTGGCTATTTCATAAGTTACATTTAAACGGATTTAAAGTTTTACGTGCGTATACGTACGTATGAAAAACGCAACAGTGAAAATCAGCCTTTACTGAAAATGAATTTTACGTGCGTTTTTTCTGCTACGTACGGGAAAGAACACGCTTGGCTGGAAATCAGCTTTCACCCTCGCGAATATTAAGTTGGCTCCCTCTCATTTACTGAATATCTAATTTGTTCACTCTCATTGCTTACTCAATATTTTAGTTGCTCGCTCTCCTTCACTCTCAAAGAGGGGCGCGAACTGTACCTATATTTATTATGCTAGTCATGTGTGGCAATTAAACTAGAACGTTTTTACAAATGCTCAAACCATAGACGAGATATTTACTAAGTAATAATTCATTCCATAAGAAAGCAGAAATGCCATATAGACACGAATCATACTAGAAATGTTTTATCTTTAGAACAAGACATTTTAAGAATAGGCCGTATTCTGTGGCACGATATCGTTCAGTTCCGTTGCCCAGGTTCGGGCACTACTTTGAAACAAGATAAATAATTAGGATAAATTATACAAAGTTCAAATCCGCTTGTTTGCACTTCCTAAAACCTGCAGTTTTCGAGTATTTCTTCTTCGAAAATTGAAGAAATCGACATCTTTCGCAATCGATCGCCGCCATTTTTGTTCAGGATACTTGGTGTAATAAACACTCTATATGCCGATTTTCGCGGGCTCATGCTCATTCTTACATGAAGTTTCCAGCTTAGCATTTGTAAACATGGCGTCTTCTGATTCATGTTTAATTCATTTTGATGGGAAAAAAGGCCCACTTACAAGTTTTAGTGTGGTTTCGTATCAAATTTTTTGAGATTGTCGTAGAATTTGGCTAACGCTAGACGGGGAAGAACGCAATGTTGCTCAAAGAAGTTTGCGGTTTGTTAGCGTCTTAGCGACAGCATGGAAGTAGCACGGTCGAAAATATCGATGCAAATTTCTCTTTATATCATCGAAGTTGTTACTCGGCATTCACAAATAGCAGTATAATCAACCGAGCTCAAGAACGTTGTCAGAATATGGACAAAGAAGGTGTACCTTCATCCTCTGGTCTCCATATTATTGATGTAGAAACGGAATCAGATGAATACGAGTGCGGGCCTGTGCGGCAGCTAAATCATGGAATCCCCACCAGTGAACTCTAAGACCCCACTTGTTGCCATGCGTTTAGCGTTTGTATAATTTGCTAATCAGAAAAGTCGTATTTCACTGAATCGGTAAGTTTATTGATTTTTTTTTTTTTACAACTATTGTTATTTTTCTAATTTGTGTTTTATAATTATATATTGATTGCATTGCCTTTAGCCGCTCCCGTTATAACGGTTGTGTGATTTATATGCATGGGTTTTTTATTGTTTAGAAGTCGAAAAAGCGAAAGCTGGACAAAATGGTATCTGTGAAAACAGTAGATGGTGGTAAACTGAAAGATGCTGCAACAAAGAAAGTTGATGAAAGTATTTTGATTCAAATTGGCATTGAAAGCATCATCCACATACAGTATTACAGTATACAAGTGCAAGACTGAAAGAAATGTATACAGACAATTAATACAGTTGGCCTAACATTGAGAAACAACTTGCAAAGACTGTTGCAAAACATTGTACATCTGCTTGGTACAAGAACTGGCCACCACATACATCATATATTACTGGTGAAAACATTAGTATCACCTCTCTTGTTTAATTTTATGGCATGGATGCGTGGGTTTTCAGATGACCCAGAAGATGCTGACTACATTGAATTAGATGGTCTATATTTCTAATAGGGGGAAAGTACAGATACCCAAGTCCCTAGCACTAGCAATGACCGTTCAGCAGATGTTTGGTTGTTCTGGCCTGATATTTAAGATTTTGAGTGGTTTTGGACATTGTC